CTTACAGGTTTGGAACAACATGAGGGCAAGTAATTAATGACAGAATTTTCATTTTTGGGTGAACTATTCCTTTAAGCAAAACATGGTCAGGTCAAAGTGTCTGAATAATCTTTGGTCCTAAATTTTTATCAATTTTACTGGTAAACTACTGTATGAAGAATTTTTGGGTATGTCACAGTTTACTTTATTTTGCTATCCTCAATTACATAAATGAACTATAGTGTCCTGCACCCACTAGTAAAAAAAATATAAAATTATATCTGGTGTCTGCATAATTTTTGGTTTGACTGTAAATTCCATATCATTTATGTGTCTGTGTGTTTTTTTTAACCATGGTGGTGGTGTATGTAAAAAAAAAACTGTGCTTAGTCTAGACCTGTTTATTAGCTGTAACTGATGGAAAAGCTAGTTTTGATTAACTTTAAAGGGACAGTTCACCCAAAAGTGAAAATTCTGTACTCAACCTCATGTTGTTCCAGTCCCATGAGGCTTTTTCTTCTTTATAACGTAGTAGATATTTTGAGAAATGTCTCATTGTATTTGTCCATACATTAGAAATCAAAGTCAAGAACTGTTATCAACATTCTTCAAAATATCTTATTTTGTGTTCCACAGACTACATTACAAGTGAGTAAATAACAATATTCATTTTTGGATGTATCCCCATAAATCATCATGTAACCTTCTATTGCACTTTTATTATTAGTGTATAGTAATGATTATCAGTAGAAGGTAGATGTCAGATTTAAGTAATTCAGATGAGATGATCTATTCAAACTGTCAGTTAATGTAATGTGCATTTATGAACTATAACACATACAAGTCCTAAATGTTATCCCATAATGCCTAACATTGTCACCATACTTCAAATCACAGTTGTCCATTTTTAACCATAAATACGATTTTTTTGTGTGCAAGTTAGATATTTAAGAGGTACGATCTGCACAATAACACATTTTGTCTGTTCTTCAAAGCTATTAAAATGCTAACCGTATGATGCGAGTTTAATGTTGCTTTGTCCCAGTCTTACAAGTGACCTCAATTAGTGTTCCAAATGGATGAGTTCTAACAAACTTCTTGTATTCAACATCAATCTTGAAATTTGCCTTAAGATCACTGATTTTAAAAAGACGTTTATTGTAGCAAACTTGATATAGCTACATCGGTAAGAGTAATTCACAGTGTATTCAACTACTACACTATTCACTGTACTATTGCAACTATTGAATGAACAAAACAAAATTGTTTTTATCAACATTCAAATTGAATAGGACAGAGTTTGTTTGCCTTTTATCACCGAACAGCTCGCATTCCACTAAATGCCCTTTCAGCACATCTACGAGTCGTCTCATCCTTATGAGGTCACTAAGGAAGCTCCCGCCAGTGTGCCGGATCCAGTCGGAGCGTTGGCTATTGACATATTTCCTTCAAGAACACAGGGCCAGGGTAAAGTAAACATCGGCCTGCAAGGCGTGCGCTCGCACTGATGCTCAGATGGGCTGATTTCTCATATCAGATTTCCCCAACATATTTCTGTGGCTGCCTAGACTAAGCAGGAGTCCACGTTAGGAACAGATAACGAGCGTCTTTCACACAGCACCGACACGTACCAGGGCGCTTATCTCTGCACCTCCTCACATGCCAGTGCAACCAGGACAGGGGGGAGATTGTTACATTTGGTGATTTGTTTTTACTTCTCGAAGGAGATAAAAATGCGCATAACTCTATGGAATCCTGGTAGAACGCATGTCCAGCTCTGAATGTACAGATGCTACTAACACAAGAAAATAAAAACTTAAAGGGCCAGTTCAACCAACTGCACACAAAATAAGAAAAAAAAAATTAATAAACAATTTAGTGGTCATCATCGACTCCCACTATATATATTTTTAATGTACATGTATACATATACACACACACATATATA